TGAATAATAGTTGCTAGTTTGGAAAAAGATTTTTCTGAAAAATGTATTACATGAGTGTACTGTCTTGAAATAGGCTATTTAAAAAAAAAAAAATATATATATATATGTCACATATATGTCTATGTGAGATATGTATGTATATACCTTTTTTTTTTTTGGTAGTAATAGGGATTGAATTCAGGGCCTAGCCCATGCTAGGCAAGCTGCCTCTGAACTATTTCCTGAGAATTTTTTTAAAAACTTTTTTTTTTTGGCAGAACCAGGGATTGAACTCAGGCCCTTGCTCTTGACAGGAAAGCAGTTATTCTACTGAACTATCTCCCCTGCCCCTAAAAAAACTTTCTGAAACAAGGTGTCACTACATCGATTGTTTAAGTTGACCTCAAACTAAACCCTGTCCCAGCCTCTGCTAGCTGAGATTACAGGGGTGCATCACCATGCCTGGCTTCCCTAGTAAATACTGATAGATGTAGCCCATAGAAACAAAAGCTCTTCTGGGATACTTTAATAATTTAAGGGTACAAGGGATTGGGGTAGTGGTTCAGTGGTACAGCACATGCTTAGCAGGCACCAGGCCCTGGGTTCAACTTCTAATACCAAACACAAGAAGAATACAAGCTAGGTGTGGTGGTAGTTGCTTGTGACCCAGCCACTCAGAAAGCTGAGTCAGGAGGATTGCAAGTCCAGGACAAGTCTGGGCAACTCAGTGAATTGCCTTTTCTAAAGGAAATAAAAAGGGCTGGACATGCAGCTCAGCACTCTTGGCTCAACATCCATAATGAGAGGGGGAAAAAGCACAAAAGGCTCTGAGAGCAAAAGTTTGAGAACCGCTGATCACCCAATAAGCATTACAAAAGTAGAACCAACGATGCTCAATTCCAAAAGAAATGGAAGTCTTCACAGAAGAAAACACTGGCTTAGTTTATATAATAAATATAGATACATAAATGTGTATTGCATGTGCATTTATATATGTGAGGGTGCTTTTTGAGGGGTGCAGGGCAGGAATCCAAAAAAACTGATTTATTTCAATGTGCCCCAGAAAAATGTGAGTAAAGTTAGAGGATTAAAAACACAAGTACCAAGCCAGGCATGGTAGCACATGACTGTAATCACAGCACTGAAGAGACAGGCAGGAGGATCACAGGTTTGAAGCCAGCATGGGTTACAGATAGACCCTGTGTCTCAGAAAGGAAAAAGGAAAGGAGAAAAGGCAGTCACAAAGGGGTTGAGTTTATTAGCTCAGTTGTAGGGCTTGTGCTCAGCATGTGAGAGGATGTAGGTTTGATGGGGGGAGAACAGATGAAATCATAAAGACTTTTAAATCTGTAATATTTAAGCATATGGCATATTCACATTGCTCCAAATATATTGCAAAACAGGAATCTAAATAGCTCTTTTGTCTAATCTTCCTTTACCTTGCTGCCTTGCTGTCCACTTCTAGTTCCCCTGCAGTCAATGATGTATTTCTAGAATATACTACTGTGCTTTCAGCTCTGTGCTGCCCACACAAAAACAAAATAAATCCATAATAGGGGCCCCTGGGATTAGAAGGGAACCGCCCCCAAAGGCCTACTGGTTGGTCTCTGAGTCAATCAAGTATTTCTTGGAATAAAGCCAAGCAAATGGAAAACAGACGTTGAAACAAGCTAGTCTACAACTCTCTGACAATACCATTCTAAAAATGTTCTGTAATTTACAAATCCGTAACACTCCTTTCTCTGTGTCTCTACTGAAAATAAAGCCTTATAATGCTACCATAAACAAAGGGATTTTTTTTTGGGGGGGGGATTTTTTTAATGACAGAAAAATATCACTTCTTTTTCCCTAGCAAAGACGTGTGCCATTTATTCACAGTAAAAAGCAACTATAACCCCTTATGATATGTTGTGTGCAGAAATACTGGCTGCCTTACAACACATTGAAAAGTTGGATAAAACTCCTGCTACGCTGAATTTTTAGGTAAGGTCTCTAATTCCTTTTAGCATACTGTGACTCCTTCCCTTCCTACTGTGATGGTCGTTTACAATTCTCAGTATTCTTCACTAGGAACTGTTGAGAATTGCGTATCTGTAAGCAATTAGCTAAGACATCTAACACTAACACACACACACACACACACACACACACACCCCTCACTACCATGAGGCCGGTTTACAAAGCAGTATGTGCTGTTTGTGTTTCTCCTGAGCAGGGCAACCTTAAGATCCTCAAACATCGCCGCGACAGAATTCCCTCCAAAGGCTGTACGTTGGCTGATCGCATATCAGCCCTTCTAAATGAGCTCACCCTACTCCAAAGAGCCTCGCGGGTCCCTCTGGAGAACTGACACCACCAGTAGGAGGCAACCGAGAGAGACAAGCCCATCAGGAGCAAAATGATGACAGATTCTACGGAAGAAATCCAATTTTTGCCATTTCCCGCTTCCTCTAACCTGACACAAGCAATAACTATTTTGGTTTTTTTTGGGGGGGTCAAACCTGGCGCCGGCTTTCAAATATTTTCCTGTTGGCTGCCCCTAAAGTGAATCGCCCAGGGGACAGCACTGGTTCCCCAGCTCCAAGGAGGGTGGAAGCAAAGCTAGGAGCAGCGGCGGGGAGGGAGCCAGCCGGCAGGTCCACTTTGTGTGCGCGGACCTCCACCCCGCAGAGCGCGGCTCGCCCGGGCAGCCCGCGCTTGCATCACTTTCCTCTGCCGGCGCCCGGCGAGCCCGGGGCCCCCGCGGCGCTGATGCTGTAAACATCGCCGAGACACTGCCACACTGCCTGAAAAACAAGCCGGGGAGCTTACCCAGCTTCTTCCACATGGCGAGGTGACAGGCGAGAAAGCCCTTGCGGATGGCAGTGCAGACCTTCGCTGGCTCGGAAGAGGTGAAGCCCTTCTGCTTCTTGATGAAACCCCATAAGTGCTCCCGGGCAAACTGTGCCGCCTCCCGCCCGCCGTGTCCGTCGCACACGGCGAAGAAAGCCACGGAAGACCGGCGGCGGCAGCAGCGGCCGCCCGGCGAGGCCCCGGCGTCCGGCGCAGGGTCGCGGGCGTCCCGGGCTCGGCCTGTCCCCGAGACTTCGCCGCCAGGAAGGGCGGACGGCAACGACTGTGGAGGCGACGGCTGCGACAGCGCCCGCCGCGGCGACGGCTTTTCTTCAGCTGTCGGCTCGGGCTCCACCACGATCTGAGTAACGTCCTCCATGTACTTCCTCCCGCCCTGGTCGGAGAAGACGCTCACTCCTAGCGAGTAAAGCCCCGCCATGGCCGGCTGGCCGGGATCCCGCCGGTCTCACGCAGCCCGCCGAATCCGGCGGCGGGAGACTCACACCCGACGCTCGCCGGCCAACTATTGTTTATCTTCGACGTCGCAGAGAGGGAGGAGGGGGCGGTCCCGGAGGGGGGGCGCGCGAAGTCCAGACTTGTCGGCGAGAGCTGGGCCGGAGCGCCAGGTTCGCGGAGTCCAGGAGCTGCGCCTGCGCACTGCGCTCCCCCGCCCGCCCGCGCCCACCACACAAATCAGGCGTTCTCCCCGGCTTGCGTCACTCGGCTCTCTGGAGCCAACCAATCAGGAGTCGAGAAAAGCGCTCCCGCCCTCCGCCCCCATCCTTCGTTGCTCCTCGAAACGGCCGCGCGCCTCCTCCCGCCTCAGGCTGAGGGCCCGCGCTCTACCCTCTCGGTTTTCTGCTTGTCGCGGGTTTCTGCGCCCTCGGGCTTTTCTCAGCTGCTGGCCACTCTCCTCGAGCGCAGTGGTCCGTCGCCTTTTTGCTCGTGTTGGGGTCGTTATGGTGTGTCCTGCCCTTCTCGGCTCGCAGTCGCCCTGTAGGCGCGAGCCTCCCGCGAGGGTAGTAACTGCCCCGCGAGGCGGGTTTTGACCTCCACTCTTTGAACTGAAAAGGCGGGAAACTCCCTTTGGAAGGCAGTTTAGGAACGAGCTGGAAACCGTGGCTCCCGGGAACTGGATTTGGGTGGGACACACTAGACTGGGAATCCAGAAGGGAGGCCGGCCAATTTAGTTTTAGCAAAACTTGGGAAATTTCCACCCTCCGCAGGAAAACTTGGGAAATTTCCAGCTTCAGCTGCGCAGTCGCGCCCCTCGTCGCTACGGTATCGGATTTAGGAAGGCTGAATTTAATACTTCACGGGGCTCAGCCTTGTTAGTTGCAGCACTTGCCCGACTGCTGCGGAGGTAGCGTGTTATTCCTGTAGCATCTCTGCGAATTGCCCCTTGACAACAAGGAAAAACTCCGCCGAGATTTGGTTATTGTCCACCGGCCGCCGTGTCGGTCACAGTGCAGGCGCTCAGGTCCTCGCCTGGTGGATGTCCCTGGAGTGAATGTGTCCTCAGCGCTACACTCTTGTAATGAATCCATTTAAAATTCATTTTGTGATCGCTTCGTCGCCAGCTCTTCCCTGGACAACCTGAGATTTTCGAGTGGGAAAAATGCGCATACAAACAGGGCACAAGAAATGCAGAGAAAAACGTTATATATAAACTAATTAATCAGAGATTCGTATCCAATCTCCCCTGCAAGGCCTTGTACTCCCTACATCTACAGCCACAGCCCCACTTAAGTGTCCTTACTATCTTTAATATTTTGTTTTGTTTTTTTTTTT